GCCAACTTTTTCACGCTCCTCTTCCACTTTCATCAAGAGGCTCTTTAGTTCCTCTTCACTTTCTGCCATAAGGGTGGTGTTATCTGCATATCTGAGGTTATTGATATTTCTCCTGGCAATCTTGATTCCAGCTTGTGCTTCCTCTGTCATTAATTGTAAAAAGATTTAAATAATGAAAAAAACTATTATCAATAATAGATAGATAGATGAAAGCATGTCTGACATTCTTTGTCACCTTGTGGAGATCCACACCTGATATTAGATTCCTTCTTCTTGAAGAATTTCTTTAATATTCCCTGCTGGTCCAGTCTGCTGATGATATATACTATTTCCACCTCTACATGTCTGAAAAAGTCTTTATTTTACCTTCATTTTTGAAAGAGCTTTTCCCTGGGTAATTCTAGGTTAACTGAATTATTTTTCCTTTAAGAACTTAGAGATGGTATTCTCTTGTCTTGTTGAAGTTTTTGGATGCTATATATATAGCATACTATTTTTCTCTTTGTCTGCCTTTAAAATTTTTCTGTGTATCACTGGTTTTGAACAATTTGATTCTTATTTACTGTATGCCATTCTCTTTGTGTTTCTTGTGCTTGGATTTTGTTGGATCTGTGGATTTGAAGTGGTCATCAAATGTGGACAATGTTAGATCATTAACCTCCCTTTTTTTTGGTGCCCTGTCTCTCCTTTTCCTCTGGTTATTCCAGTTACATGTCTGTTAGGCCACTAGAAGTGTTTTGTATGTGTTTTTAAATTCTTTTCTCTCTTTCTCTGTGTGTTTCATTTTGGATAGTTTTCATTGCTATCTCTTCAAATTCACTAATGTTTCATTCTTCAAGGACAATCTGTCATTTATTCCATCCAGTTCACTTATCATATCTGACACTGTAGCTTTTATTTGTAGAGGTATGGTTCAAGTGTTTTTTCTTTAATCCACTGCCTCAAGCTAACTTTTTAAATACACGGAATACAATTGCAATTATTGTTTATCGTCCTTGTCTGGTAATTCTAGTATCTGTGTTAGTTCTGCCATAGTTTGACTTCATTGACTTTCCTCTTCACTATGAATTTTACTTCTTTCCATGCTCAGTAATTTTTAGCAAAATCCTAAATATTGTGGATTTTTGCCTTCCTGAGTGCAGGATACATTTTCACTTTTAGAAATATTTTTGAGCTTTGCTTTTGTAAACAGTAAAGTTACTATTTGATCCATCAGAATCTAGCTTTAAATTTTTTTCAGGCACCATCTAAGGAATGTTCAGTGTATGACCAATTATTCCTCACAATTAAGTCAACATTTTTTGAGTCCTTGACCCGATGCCTGTGAGGTCTGAGGTCTGACACTCAAGCGGATGGGGGCAGCCTCACTCCTGCCCGGAGTGTGTGCTCCGCTTAGCCTCAGGGTGTTTCCTCAGACTTGTAACATTCACCCCGCTAGTGAGCACCGTGGGGGCCCCTCTGCCCACTCCCAGGGCTCTTGGGGGGCTCCCTCCTCCCCAGGGCACTGTCCCAACAGCTCTGACCTTCTTAGGGACCCTGGACTCAGCTCTGTCTCCTTGACCCCGGGGAGTCCCCTGGGCTCATCCTGGGCCCCTCCCCACTCCAGCATCCTGCAGACTCTCTCAGGACAGACGCGGCACGCTCAGGACCCCTGTCTTCTTGTCCTCTCAGGGACGATGCGTCTTGAGTGACTAATGCCAGAGTCTTGAGAGCCGTTGTTTCATGTGACTTGTCTGTTGGTGATTTTGTTCTTGGTGGTTTCTGATGGGAAGGTAAGTCCAGTCTCTGTTACCCCGTCTTTGCTGGGAGCAGGAGTCCCCTCCCCTTAACTCATGTTTTAGTTCTTTTGCCCCAAAGTCTCCAGCTGATGAGACTGTAAAGCCCACTGTTCCCTATTCTCTTTTGCCATGTGTGAAAAGTGAAAGTCGCTCAGTCGTCTCCGACTCTTTGTGACCCCAGAGACTATACAGTCCGCGAAATTCTCCAGGACAGAATACTGGAGTGGGTAGCCTTTCCCTGCTCCAGGGGATCTTCCCAACTCAGGGATCGAACCCAAATCTCCTGCTTTGCAGGTGGATTCTTTACCAGCTGAGCCACAAGGGAAGTCCTGTGTATTTTCCATGTGTATTTCCCTTTATTCCCTTCACAGAAGAGAGGTCAGAGCAGATAGACAGTAGACTCCCACCTGAGGACCTCTGCTCCCCCAGGCCGCCCAGCACTGGGCCTCCTCACGGGGTGCAGGTGACTTCATCAGCTTTGGGGGAAGAAAGGAACATCAGCCCTTTGGTGGAAAATTGCAAGATCTTTGTGCTTTAAAGTTTGCTGACCTGTGTATGATAGTCTGTGAGTGTAACCAGAGACTGCAGTACGTGGTACTAGAGGAATTTTGACTATTAACATTAAGTGTCTGAGCGACTGAATTCAACTGAACTGAGCTGAATATTAAGATTACTTATAGATGATGGGAAAGTTAAATAGAGAGAAGGGAAAGGTAAATATCTGATTTATCCAAGCATGGTATTACTGACTAATACTAATTCCACCCATGAAACTAAAATAATAGTTATACTTACCAAGCAATGGGGTGGGGGTGGGGGTTTGTAGAAATTAAAATTAAAGTGTATGTGTGTATAAAAATTTTATATATATATATATTTACATATTGTATATATATATATATATATATATATATATAAAACACTATATAGGGCTTCCCAGGTGGCACTTGTGGTAAAGAATCTGTCTGCCAGTGCAGAAGGCATAAGAGACAAGGATTCAATCCCTGGGTGGGGAAGATTCTCTGGAGTAGGGCATGGCAACTCAACTCCAGTGTTCTTGCCTGGAGAATCCCCATGGACAGAGGAGCCTGGCGGGCTACAGTCCATAGGGTTGTAAAGAGTCTGACATGACTGAAGCAACTTAGCATGCATGCCTAATATTTTATATATGTGTGTGTGTGTGTGTGTGTGTGTGTGTATAACATATACATATATATATATAATTTTAAAATTTATATAGTGCCTTTTGTTCATAACTTAAGAAACAGTGGGTCAAACTGGGAACTCACTAACCTTCCTGAATTATAAACTGATCCTTGCTTATGGAGTAAGTCATTTTGGGGGAGTTTGAACACTGATGTGGGAATCTAGGAATTGGTGTTCAAAGCAGAATGCCTGTGTTTCAGAGGACTCACACGGTGCTGGGCTGTGAGACTTGTATTAAAGTCAAAAACTGCACTCAGCTCTCCTGGCTGGGCACACACACACCCCCTTCCATACGTCAGGCGCCATGAGGCCCCCAGCGGTCCGCGTTTCATGCGTGGTGTCTGCAGGCAAACTGAGCAGTGTGAACTGCAGGCTCGAAACTGGGACTCTCAGGCTTCCACTGGCTTTTGGCATTTTTCTCTGTATTGCAGTTATGAGGCTCTCAGTAAATAGATTTACAAACTATATTGCAGTATTTTGTAATAGTTTGTGATGAAATGGAGCACTAGTGTCAACGTTGCTTGTACCACAAAGATGTCTGCTTGCTTTTATGGTCAGATTCTGAATGTTGTCAGCCTTAAATTTTCACTAAACTGTTCTTTTATAAAAGGACACGTGCTCCACACATGTCCTGTGTGTGTGAGGACAGGGGCTGAGTAAGCACAGGACCAGCAGCTATTTGTGAAAAAAAAATGTGTTTAGTCTTGCTTGAAAGCAAAGATGGCATTCTGATGTTTAGTGAGGATGTCTTTAAATAGAGGCGAGAAGGACATGGCAACCCACTCCAGTACTCTTGCCTGGGAAATCCCACGGACAGAGGAGCCTCGTGGCTATAGTCCATGGGTCGCAAAGAGTTGGACACGGCTGAGTGACTGACACTTTCAGTTTTCACTTGTGCTTTGGAGAGAGTGTTTGAAAATGAAAATTCAGAAATATTGTCATTGTTATGTTATTTTAAAATTTTTTGCTGTAAATGATATATGAAATGTTAAAAACTCAAATTTACCCTTTTCAAAAATTTGCAAACAAAAATCCTTAAGCAATCTTTTTAATTTGTCAAAATAAATCATTTCAGTGGGTTTTGAATTCATCTATTTAAATATATATTTAATACCTTCTGATTGGTTTGCAAGAGCAAATTATGGCATTTGGGATCAATGGAAATTGATCAGTTGAATTTCATAAAAATCTTGGCCTAACCCATAGAAATAATTGAAAAATAAGTATCATGATTTAGGTACAGTAGCCAATATAGAAGTTACTCCATTTTTAGATGAGTGTCTTTGTGATGTATCTTTTCAACTATGAGAGTTCTTAAAATCAAGTATCAATATAAATTGAGCTAAGAAATAGGCTAGATCTTTTAAAATAATGTCATATTAAAGATATTTTCCTCATTTAAAAGTATCCTTAATGCATTTCAAAAGAGAAATTCTGTACTGTTTGCAGATAAAGTAATTTTAGGCCCTGCTGAGCTGGCGTGCAACTGCAGCACGATGGGCGCGAGCGTTTACGGCGTCTTCAGGCCCTTACTGGGCTCCCACGTGGCTCAGATGGCGAAGAGTCCGTCTGCAAGGCAGGAGACACGGCTCCGATCCCTGGATAGGGACGGTCCCCTGGAGAATCCCATGGCCAGAGGCGCCTGGTGGGCTACAGTTCACGGAGTTGCAAACAGTCAGACACGCCTGAACAGCTAACATAGATAAAACAAGCATTTTTAAATTTAATTTTGTATTAGTATACATGGTTCACACTTATTATATGTCAGTACATAATAGTGAATATATACATATACATATACATATATATATATATAAAATAAAGGATCATTCCCTTAAAAAGAAAGAATTGTCGCTGAAAAGATGCCTGACCTTGAGGTCTGAAAGGCCGCTGTAGACGGGCCGCAGCCACACAGCCGCTGCCTGTGGGGCCGGACGCTGAGAGGTGAGCGGCCCCGGAGCCTGGACTGCGGCGGGCGCTGTCCACACGCGTCGTCTCGTGGGGTCCTCCCCGCAGGTCTCAAGACCGAGCGTCATCAGCACGTTCCGTCAGGAGCCCTGGCTCTTTCAGGGAGGAAGCCGGGCTCTCGCCGCAAGGGCAGGGCCTGCGTCAGTCAGGCCCCGGTCATGCGCTGCCCCCAGGCCAGGCGCCCCCCTCCCGTGAGAGGTGGTGGGTTCACCGGTGAGGCGGGTGCAGGTGTGTTTGGGCTGATGTGTCTGCAACCCGCTCCCTCAGACCGCGGCCCCTGGAGCCCCGTGAGCGTATACAGTTGACGAACCTGCTGAATCCCAGCAATGAGAGGGCCGGCCAGGGGACCAGGGCTGGGCTGCGGTCAGCCAGGGTCTGGTCAGAGTTCGATGGGGCGCTCGAGGGGCTTCACGCAGGGCCAGGCCCGGAGGCGAGGGGGCCAGGGCGGGGGTCTGCGACGTGCGGCCCGTGTGCCCGCAGTTCCTACTCTGGGATGCAGGATTGTTTCTAAGGGAATGGCCATGCTTCGGGCAGCTTATGATGCTTCAGAAAATGTGTGTAAAACCGTGTGGGTCTGCGCACTTGTGTGTTTAGATGAAGAAGCCCATGGCCTTTACCAGACCCTGACGGAACCCAGGACAGAAACTAGCCTCTCTCGAGCCTGCAGTGACAGTCGTCTTCATAGAGAGGACTCGTCACGGCTCCAGGCTCAGAGACGGACCACACACAGAGTTGTGCTCTGTGTTACCTCGAGGAAGGACAGCCTAGTGACGTGACTGGCTGGTTGTGTCCTTGAAATAGAGGTGAAGACCTAGCACTAATCTGTGTGCTATACTGGACTTCCCCATGACTCAGCAGTAAAAATTCTGCCTGCAGTGCAGCAGATGTGGGTTCAAACCTGGGTCGGGTGGACCCTGGAGAAGCAAATGGCAATGCACTCCTGTATTCTTGCCTGGAGGACTCCATGGACAGAGGCACTGCTAAAAGAGATTAACCAAGGATAAGCCTGACCCAGACTGAGGCTGCCAACCTTGTGTAACATTTCAAGATGTCTTTCTCCTTCACAACGATAAAGATGGAAAACAGAATCATAAATAGTCCTTTTCATAAATGGATGGAGTTTTAGGTGGGAAAGGACATCATTATATTTGTCTCGTATGTGTAATTCGTGTGTCTATGAAATTATACATGATGCAGTTGATTCTCGTTCATAGCTGCTACGTTTGTATGTCACTGTGGATCCTCACTTAGCAAATCCTGAACCTCTGTGCCTGTAAGAACCAGGAGGGTAGGGTCCTGCCAACCTCTGGTCACATTTTCATCAGCCAGTCAATACACAACCTTGTTTTTTGTGTGAGGTTATTTCTGTTTAAAGACATCTTGTTCAACGTATATGGCTTATTCAGGAGCACTGAGCTCACGGCCAGCAGCCCACAAGCTGGTACCGAGCACAGTTTCTCCACGTTACGTGTTCTCTTCATAAGGCGCATCCCAGCCTCCTTATACTCAGAAGCCAGGCCATACTACAGTCCTGCACTTGGAGCCATTTGCAACCGAGAAATGGCATCAAAAGCACAACGATGCAGAAAGCGTGGCACTAAAGAGACCACCAGAGAGGACGCTTATCTGCAGAGAGTGAAGCAGGAGGCAGTGTCGCCTTCCTCAACCCCAGTTGGGACCGTGAACTTCAAGTGACTCCAATTTTTTGCTGTTCTGTTCAAGCCCATGGAAGATTGAGAAAGCACAGCAAGTGTTGAACTTGAGGTTACAAGTAAACTTTGGCAAGCAGGCAGATTCACAGACCTGGAGTCACAAATAATGAGCACCAACTGTACGCGCACTAGCGGCTTTGTGGCTGCATCTCAGTGAGGCAGCATTGCACATTGTCTGGGGGAAGGATGAACTAGGCGGTTTCCTATGCTTTCTCTGACTTGGTTGCCATGCTTTAATTTGGCTTTTGAGTCCCAGAGGTTGTATTTGGTGATGAGACAGAAAGACCTGTGAGACACAAGTCCTGCTCCTTAGAAGTTTACACCCCAGGTAGGGAAACAGAAGGCAAATTCAGTGCAGTGTGAAGGTGAACTGAAGTGTGGCCCAAATGCCACCTTCACTTCTCACCAACACCAGAGCAGTCTAACCAAGAGAACTTCCAAAACAGGCTGGATTTTTAAAGATGGCTATTACATCTTTAGAAAAACAGCAGGAAAAGAGAAAGCAAATCGTGGAGATGGATGTTCACAGACATGGAGGTACGACTCAGCTGAGTGTATCTGGACGGTCACATGGATGGTGACCTGGCCATCATGTTAGATGCTGGGTGGGGATGGAGGTGCTGATGCAGAAAGCATGGGTGAGAACCCACTCTAAGGGCTTGGTTGACTGCCTAAGGAGTCTGGATTTTGACCCTCGGGGAGGAGGAAGGGGGTAGAGTTACATCATTAGGAACGTGCTTTAGAGAGGACGCTCCAGGGGCACTGAGAAGAGTGGGTCACTGGGTGCAGACAGAGCTGGCCATGGAGGCCCTCAAGTCTGCTCTGGCCCCTGTCCAGAGAAGCACGACAGACACCTGAGCTGAGGATCTCGCCGGCCATGGATGGAAGGAGGAATCCTAACAGAGCCCACGCTGAAGCAGACAACCTAGAAGTCAGAGGACAAGCATCCCCAGCTTGGACTCTCCTCTCCACTTGTCACAGGCATCACTGTATGCATTGCTCACAGCCTCTCTCCTCCTTTTTGTCAATAAATGAAAAGCAGACATGAAAAGTTTAGGGTACATTAATAACCTGCATTTGACTTGAATCCAGAAAGAGGTGGGTTAAGATTTGTTTAAGCTGTATGTGATAAGAAATGAATAAAATAGAAGTTAAAAATGAGAAAAGCAATTATGGTGTACAATAACTATTTCCTGTGCCTTGCATATATGAATGTTTGCTTTTAGCCATTCCCTTCAATAAAAAGCTCTGTTTCTTCCTTCTGAAGAAATGACTAAATGCCATTAAATACAGGGCTGCAAGGGAAGACTGTGGAGGGTTTTAGTATTTTCAAAATGTAAAAGTTAATTTGTCATTAAACTTTTTTCAAGTTTAAAAAATGCCTAGCCGCTAATGGCAAAGATGGAAGATTGTTAAATAAGAGATTAGCTCATATCTAAGTTGGGAAAACGGCCTGGACCATCAGGACTGCAGATTCACCTCAGCTCCTCCGTTCTCACCTGTCTGGGTGCCTCACCTGACTCAGACAGGAGCCTCCGGCAACAGCCGCTTGACTCACCCACGCACACCGGCTGTGTTTCAGAGTCAGGTGTTGTCGGAATTTGGACCTATTTATTCTGCTTCAGTAATTGGAATGGCAATGCATCCAGCTTACTGCGGGTCCCTCACAGGGGGTCAGGGCACTCACGTGTATCACACAGCCTGCCGTGTCTTCCTGATTAAATATCAACGTGCTCTGTTCACTTCTCCAAAACACACTGGTTTGGAAAGGCTGGCACCTGGCGGGAATCTCATGTGCTACAGCCCAGGCAGGAACTGAGGGCCACGCAGCACACAGAGACCTCAGCCACAAGCACTGGTGGCTTCCGCGGTTCGGGGCAGAGCGAGAGAGCTTTGCTCCAGCCGCACATCTGTGCCCAGCAGGCAGGCGCCAGGACCAGCTCGCCCGCCACCTCCTTACTGTTCTTTGTGGGATGCTCTCCTCAGGAGAGACATCACTGTAGAGTGGAAAGACTTGAACACCTTAGAAGGCTCAGACTCCCCCTCAATGTTATATATATAAAGTGTATATAGCTCAGGCTCCCCCGCGATATTATATATATAAAGTGTATATAGCTCAGGCTCCCCCGCGATGTTATATATATAAAGTGTATATAGCTCAGGCTCCCCCCTTGATATTATATATATAAAATGTATATAGCTCAGGCTCCCCCGCGATATTATATATATAAAGTGTATATAGCTCAGGCTCCCCCGCGATATTATATATATAAAGTGTATATAGCTCAGGCTCCCCCGCGATATTATATATATAAAGTGTATATAGCTCAGGCTCCCCCGTGATATTGTATATATAAAGTGTATATAGCTCAGGCTCCCCCTCGATATTATATATATAAAGTGTATATAGCTCAGGCTCCCCCGCGATACTGTATATATAAAGTGTATATAGCTCAGGCTCCCCTGCGATATTATATATATAAAGTGTATATAGCTCAGGCTCCCCCGCGATATTATATATATAAAGTGTATATAGCTCAGGCTCCCCCGCGATATTATATATATAAAGTGTATATAGCTCAGGCTCCCCCTCGATATTATATATATAAAGTGTATATAGCTCAGGCTCCCCCCTCGATATTATATATATAAAGTGTATATAGCTCAGGCTACCCCGTGATGTTATATATATAAAGTGTATATAGCTCAGGCTCCCCCGCGATGTTATATATATAAAGTGTATATAGCTCAGGCTCCCCCGCGATGTTATATATATAAAGTGTATATAGCTCAGGCTCCCCCGCGATGTTATATATATAAAGTGTATATAGCTCAGGCTCCCCCGCGATGTTATATATATAAAGTGTATATAGCTCAGGCTCCCCCGCGATGTTATATATATAAAGTGTATATAGCTCAGGCTCCCCCGCGATGTTATATATATAAAGTGTATATAGCTCAGGCTCCCCCGCGATGTTATATATATAAAGTGTATATAGCTCAGGCTCCCCCGCGATATTATATATATAAAGTGTATATAGCTCAGGCTCCCCCCTCGATATTATATATATAAAGTGTATATAGCTCAGGCTCCCCCGCGATATTATATATATAAAGTGTATATAGCTCAGACTCCCCCGTGATATTATATATATAAAGTGTATATAGCTCAGACTCCCCCCTCGATATTATATATATAAAGTGTATATAGCTCAGGCTCCCCCGCGATATTATATATATAAAGTGTATATAGCTCAGGCTCCCCCTCGATATTATATGTATAAAGTGTATATAGCTCAGACTCCCCCCTCGATATTATATATATAAAGTGTATATATAGCTCAGATTCCCCCTCAATATTATATATATAAAATCACTGTGCATCATGACTGCAGCAATGAAATTAAAGATACTTGCTCCTTGAAAGAAGAGCTATGAGAAACCTAAATAGCATATTAAAAAACAGAGACATTACTTTGCCAACAAAGCCCCTTTTTGTCAATACTGTGGTTTTTCCCGTAGTCACATACGGGTGTGAGATCTGGACAACAAAGAAGGCTGAGCGCCGAAGAATCAATGCTTTTGAACTGTGGTGTTGGAGAAGACCCTTGAGAGTCCCTTGGACTTCAAGGAGATCCAACCAATCCATACTAAAGGAGATCAGTCCTGGGTGTTCATTGGAAGGACTGATGCTGAAGCTGAAACTCCAATACTTTGGCTACCTGATGCAAAGAGCAGACTCATTTGAAAAGCCCCTGATGCTGGGAAAGATTGAAGGCGGGAGGAGAAGGGGGCAACAGAGGATGAGATGGTTGGATGGCATTCCCAATTCGATGGACATGAGTTCAAGCAAGCTCCAGGAGATAGTGAAGGACAAGGAAGTCTCACATGCTGCAGTCCATGGGGTTGCAATGAGTTGGACACGACTGAGCAACAACAACTATATATATATATATATAAAATATGCATCTTATATACCTGATGTGAAGAGCTGACTCATTGGAAAAGACCCTGCTGCTGGGATCCTGGGACTGAGTGGCTGAACAAGAGAAGGCTCAGACCCTCCTCTCGATATTTCATATGTGGAAGGAAGAGCAGTGTCACCCCACAGCTGCCCACGTGCTGACCCAGCACCGCAGGACACACGGACTCAGCAGATGTGACCCAGTTAAGGCCGCTGCCCTGCACCGTTGGGAGGACCATGTGAGGTCCCCGGGCCTCCTGTAAGAGGCAGGCAGGGGGGTCCAGAAGGAGATGTGCTGAGGAAGCCGCGGGAGGAGGGATGCAAGGGAGGGACCAGGAGCCCGGAAGTGCAGGCCCCTCTGGAAGCCCAGAGAAGGAGGGAAAGGCTGCCCCCGTGGAGACTGAGGAATGCAGCCTTGGCCTCTGGAACCAGAAGATCAGACAGTGAGATGACGCGTGGGTATTGCTTTTAGCCAGCCGATCCTGCTCGTTTGTTCCAGCGGCAGAAGGAATCCAACACAGTGACGACCACTACCTCTGCGGGCCGGACCTCGGCCACGTCGGGGGATGCCTACCCTTCCCGTGGTGCCCGCCTAGGAATCAGAAGACACGTTCCGGACACGCGCGTTGTCGCCGTTCGGGCCCTGCGGCGCCGTGAGGGCGAGGCCCCCGAGGCACGCCCTGCAGGGGCTGATCTCAGCCGCGTCCACGCGGTGAGAAGAAAGCCGGGCGCCGCTGTGGATGAGAAGCGGGCACCCCTCTGAGCTCCGCCTTGTTTTTGGACGCCCTCCCCCCCAGCGCCTCTGTGCCCCTGCCCCTCTGAGGGGTGACCTGCAGGGCACTGAGCAGCTCCCGGGGGGAAGGAGAGTGCTCTTGAGAGAGAGGGGGGCAGGCGGGTCAGCGCGGAGCTGAGCAAATGAACCGGTCGGGGCTCTGATGCCAGCAATCAGCCCGACGCGCAGCCGCTTGACCCACTCACGCGCGCGTCTCCCTCCCGTCACGTGAGCCCTGGCCAGGGAGGGCGTCCTGCCCCGCGTTCAGCCTGCGTCCTGCCCGCCTCCCCCAGGGGCCTGGCCGTCCTCTGTCCTCCGTGGCCGGCGGGCGAGTGGAGTGACGGCTGAGGGCGGTGCCCGGGGTCGCCCCCGCGCTGGCCTGCGCTCCATCTGCGGCCGCGGGCACCCAGCCCTCAGATGCCCGCTGTCCATGGCCTCGCCTCCGGTGAGGTCAGCTGTGCCACAGGAGGGCCCGGCTGGGCACCTTTGCCCGTCCATCTGACTTCAGGCCAGCTTCTTCTGGAAACTCGATTACCCGGAGAAACTGGCATTTCAAGATATCTCAAATAGAATGGAGTGTTTGCTTTTCAAAGCAAAGGCTGGGCACTTTATGAGACGCAGACCCGCAGTTTGCTCTGCTATGAGGACACTGTTTGCAGAGAGCTCATGGTTGTTTCCCCCCAGTTCTCAGCCTGCCTCAAGCCGCTCATTTCTTGATGATCTAGACCAGAAAAATCCCTTAATCTGTGAAGACTAAATTTACCCCTCTTCCATTGCCCATCTTTCACTTCTCCAATGGATGTTTTATCTTGTCCCTTCTCTAAGTTTTTCTTCCCTCTTCTCTCTTGTTTTTTATAGTTATTGCTATACCTATATACAACTTTTTATAAGTCACGAATTAAGGAAACATACTTTATTGTTTAGCAGATAGTAGCTTAAATGCTGAATAAATGAGGGTTGAAAGGATTCTGACAAGTAACATCCTCTTCTGACCTGTTTCCTCACCAGTAAGACGGGGTCACTGTCGCAAGTGTCACTGTTTGTTGGGGTAACCATCAGCATCTCCCCCCTATTTTGGGGGGGGCATCACTGGCATGCAGGATCTCAGCTCCCCGCCCAGGGACTGAGCCCATGCTCCCGTCTGTGGAGGTGCAGTGTCTTAACCACCAGTGAAGTCCAGTCCTATGCACTTTTAATAATACAATTATATGTACCCCTGGCAAGACTCCTAAAATCACGATAGTTAAAGTTAGACCTTAGCATCCATATGTTTAAAAAAAACGTATAGGAGATTGTGCTAGTTACACTGTACGTGATTCTTAGACCCTCTGTATCCAGTCACCCTGGGCCCCTCATTTAAGGTGGGGCTCTCGAAAGCTGCAGTCTGCTGAGTTTTGCACTTGGTCCATTCGACAATCTTTGACTCTCGGTGGTAGAATTTAGTACTTTCTCACATCAGTGTAAGCCAGTGTTGTTAATGGGCTACTTTCTTCAATTTACTGTGGTTTTCTATTTTTTTCTGCTGCTTCCATGGCCTTTTTCTTATTTTTACTTGGATTTAGTATTTTATGCTATTCCTTTTTACCTCTGTTAACGTGTTAGTCATACTTTCTTTTACTACTCCTACGGGAAGGTCTGGCATACTGCGGTTCATGGGGTCGCAAAGAGTCGAACACGACTGAGAGACTGAACTGACTGACTGACTGACTGTTTACTCTGAAATTACAGTATGCACTTTTGACCTATTAAAATTTGATGTCAGTTGTAGTTTTGCCACTTTCCAAAAACTTGATGACTTTGTGAATGCCCTAGACCCATGTATACTCCCTATTTTATGTGCTATTAAAAGGCAAGTAATACATCTTATAAATATGCATTAAGCATATTTGTTTTATTATAAATCACATTATTTAATTTTGTACAGTCAATGATCACTTTGATTTATTCATGTGCACACTGTTTTGATTGATCTTCATTTCTTTATGCATAAATGAACTACAATCAGATTATTTTCCTTCTGAATAAAGAATTTTTTAACATTTTCTTAATGTAGATCGACCAATGACAAAACCTTTTATTTTTTGTCTGAAACTGTTATTTCATCACCTTGATTTTTGAAAGATTTTTATTTATTTATTTATTTATTACAAAATTGGAATTTAGTTTCATTAAGTGTTTTTAATATATAAATTCATTGTTTTCTGAATTCAGTTCTTTTCATTAAAAAGTTAGCTGTAAGTAATTGCTGGCAGTTATCTTTTCTTTTCTTGGTATGATTTCCAGAAATTTTACTATGAGATGCCCAGCTGTAGTTTTCTGTGTTTACCCCATTTGGGATTTCCAGTGACTCTGGAATTTGTGGTTTGATGTTGTTCAACACTTTGGAGTATTCTTAGTCTTAATTGAAAATTGTTGTCTTACTATTTTTGTTATTTTATCTTTGAACAATACTTGTGATGTTGTCTTATGACTTACTGTTCAGCTCACTAATTTTTTTCTCTTCGTTCACACATAATCAGTTAAAACCATTCATTAAGTTCCTAATTTCAATTATTATAGCTTTTACTTTTTAAAATTCCCATTTGATTTTTAAAATACTTTTCACTTACCTCCTGAAATCTAACATTGTGTTAAGTTCCTTTGCCAGAGTCATCATAGCTAATTCAGATCCTTGTCATAGAATCCCAGTGTCTCTGCTTCTGTTGTTATTTTTTCCTGGGTTCTGGTTAGATTTGCCTTGTTTGTTTTGTTTGAACAATAGACTTCGTACGTAAAAGCTGTAGCCGCATGTCAAGGCTGTGTGTTGTGTCTCCTTCCTCCAGGAAGCGTTAGTTATTACTTCCTGCAGGCATCTAGATTAGGGGGAAATCACTTCAACAAAATCAGGAGTTGAAATGGTTCCAATACTCATGCAAACTGGGTGCATTTACTTCATTTTATCAAGTTAAAAAGCCAAAAATATAATCTATAATGAACCATGTGCAGCAATAGAAGGGGGTTGGGATTCAGGATGCATTATCTCACTGTTCTCAAGTATTTAAACATTTTTATGATTCTTAGTTATTAGCATGTTTTGGCAAAGGCATGGTTTTCATTCTCAAAGTGCAGGGAGAGGAATGATTTTCCAGTCCAGATACTGACTTGGAGATAGTTGGAGTACATGTTTCTTGGGATGGAACTGGCAGATCTAGCTTTAGAAAATGGATTAGCAGTCTGCACTGGAGTTGAGCCGTGACACTCTGCCAGCTTGGGTGAATGTTGAATGACTGGCTTCATGAAATCTAGGCTAATCTACACTGGGTCCCTAATCCCAGTGAAAAGCCAATGGCATTTACTTGACAAACTCAGACCTGACCTAGTTTTATCTTTTTCTTTGACCTGATTCTTTACAATCTACTACCTAAAAGGGGGCCAAGATGCTCAAGATTCTTGGGCTCCTGCAGTTCATCTGTCCATCCTAAACCACCTAAGGGAACATTCACCAACTCCCAGGGTTTCCAGAAGTATCCTCTGGCATGACATAGCCTCCAGTCACCAGAGAAGACCTCACTTAAAACACCTTAGACAAGAACCTGCTACACACTTGCATGTGGACAACGGAGCTTCTGAACTCTTACTGTAACATCTATTCTGAGCCGTGACAACCCTTCATCCATGTGCACACTGACTATTCACCTTTTCATCCAGCACCTCCCGTGTGCCAGGCATGATGAAGACACCAGCAGTTAAGTTAGATAAGCCTGGGGCTTCAGTGAACTTTCCTCCCATAAGAGAAGAGAAAGAGGAAAAATGACTAATCAAGAAACACAGAACTCGAGGTCCTAAATAAAGGAAAATTGCAAGACTGATACAGAGAATGAGGCAGAAACCCTTGCCAGAGAGGGGTAAATTTTGGGGCTGGAGCAGGTGTTCCTGGCAGAAGAAACAGCATGTGCAAAGGCCCTGAGGCAGAGTTTAGTGCATGTGGAAGTGTGGTAGCCCTCAGAATCCATGCTGCAGGTCAGTGATGCCCAGGGGTTCTGGATTCAAGGCCCTTTTACACCCTTCATGCTCTGAGGCTCTCACGGAGACTTCATTTATGGGAGTTATATTTAGTTCAGTTCAGTTGCTCAGTCATGTCCAACTCTTTGCAACCCCATGAACTGCAGCATACCAGGCCTCCCTGTCCATCACCAGCTCCCGGAGTTTACTCAAACTCATGTCCATCAAGTCAGTGATGCCATCCAGCCATCTCATCCTCTGTCATCCCCTTCTCCTCTTGCCCCCAATCCTTCCCAGCATTAGGGACTTTTCCAATGAGTCAACTCTTCTCATGAGGTGGCCAAAGTATTGGAGTTTCAGCTTCAACATCAGTCCTTCCAATGAACACCCAGGACTGATCTCCTTTAGGATGGACTGGTTGGATCTCCTTGCAGTCCAAGAGACTCTCAAGAGTCTTCTCCAATACCACAAAATGTTTTGATGTTCAAAAGCATCAATTCTTCAGTGCCCAGCTTTCTTCACCATCCAACTCTCACATCCATACACGACCACTGGAAAAACCATAGCCTTGACTAGATGGACGTTTGTTGGCAAAGTAATGTCTCTGCTTTTTAATATGCTGTCTAGGTTGGTCATAACTTTCCTTCCAAGGAGTGTCTTTTAATTTCATGGCTGCAGTCACCATCTTCAGTGATTTTGAAGCCCAAAAAAATAAAGTCTGACACTGTTTCCACTCTTTCCCAATCTATTTCCCATGAAGTGATGGGACCAGATGCCATGATTTTCATTTTCTGAATGTTTAGCTTTAAGCCAATTCACTCTCCTCCTTCACTTTCATCAAGAGGCTTTTTAGTTCCTCTTCATTTTCTGCCATAAGGGTGGTGTCATCTGCATATCTGAGGTTATTGATATTTCTCCCGTCAATCTTCATTCCAGCTTGTGCTTCTTCTAGCCCAGTGTTTCTTATGATGTACTCTGCATATAAATTAAATAAGCAGGGTGACAATATG